TGGGGGTGGGGGAGCTGGCTGGCAGTGCCCCGGGGACAGAACAGGAGGGGCAGTGGGCTGCTGGTGCAGACTTCAGTGCCCCACCCCTCCAGGTCTTGCACGGGTGGCTTTGCCGTAGCCCAGAAAGTTCATAAACTCAAATGGAACTGAGAGGCTCAGTGTAAACTGCCTTCCTCCCACTCCGGGTACGTAGCCCCTCCCGCCGGGGCATCTACAGTTACCCGTTCAGCGAGAGCTCTCTCCGTGGTTGTATATGCATGTATATAAATACCCCTCCCCCCCCCCCGCATCCTCTTTTTACAAACAAGCGGCGGATAGTATATACTATTGCACATGTGTTTTCTGGCTCTAGCTTTTTTATCTTGGGCGATAGCCCCACACCAGTATATACATAGCTGTGGAGGCTTCTCTGGTGTGGTCAGTTGGAAGGAAAATCCTGGGGCAGGGGAAGAATGCTGCTCATAAAGGGGGTAAAGCCTCCAAGGTGCCCATGGGTGGGCTTTAGGGGGTCCAGGAGCCTTCTGACTGTGTGAGTAAAATTGTGGGTACAAATGAGTCTTTCTGGAAAGAGGGACTGTGTCTTCCCAAGGGACCTTGGCCCAGAAGAGGCAGATGCCATGGCTCTGGGTTGCCTGGGATTTCACAGAGCAGGCGGCCTCGGTGGGGGGGGGGGGGGGGGGCTAACTCACCAGAAGGCAGAGCCCCTTGGCCCTCAGGCCCCACCGGGGTTTCCATGGACCAAGTGGAGGGGGATGGGGCCCAGCCGCCAGCCCTGATACCCTCTTGGAAGGTGACTGGGGCTCTCCCACTCCCAAAGGAGCATCCCTCTGCCTGCAGCCAGGGTGGCCCTGACTCTGGAAATGCATGAGGCCTTCCTAGGATCAGAGAACCCTAGTATCAGAGCTGGGAGGCCCTTAGTGTCACTGGATCTTTGGAAAAATTGAGGCACAGAGAGGCCAGGGGGTGGGTCCAAGGTCACCCAGCCAGGGAAAGCACGGGCTGTTCCTGCCTGGGATGTTTGAGTTCAGTGTTCCTTCCCCTGCCAGACAGGAATGAGACTCGGAGGAGAGGCCCTCTGGATGAGGCGAGGCCGCCTGTTGCTGCTTGCCTCTTGGTGTCAGGGTGAGGAAGAGAGGGTGCATGGAGCAGAGGCCACGGCTCAGGTGGGGGTGTCCTCAACGCACCTCCCCGCACCCTGCAACATCACCTCCCGCTGGCTGAATCCTCACACCGGCCAGGAATTCCGAACACAGCAAGGACGCGGCGCTAAGAGGTGTCGCTACAAGACATGGCCACTAGAGGGCAGCAGGCAAGCCACTGCGGCGACTCAGCGGTGGAAAGTTCTCAGGCTGGGAGAGGAGAGGAAGGAAGGGGCGGTGGGCAGAGATCTAGGCACCCTGCAGTCAGGGCGAGTGTCTACCTCATCCTCAGAGTCAGTGAAATCTGTTCTGAGGGGCTGACCGAGACAAAAAGCAAACAAGACAGGGGCGCCTGGGTGGCTTAGTTGGTTAAGCTTCCGACTTTCGCTTAGGTCATGATCTCGCGGTTCGTGGGTTCGAGCCCCGCGTTGGGCTCTGTGCTGACTGCCAGCTCAGAGCCTGGAGCCTGTTTCAGAGTCTGTGACTCCCTCTCTCTCTGACCCTCCCCTACTCATGCTGTCTCTCTCCTAGAAATAAATAAAACATTTAAAAAAAAAAAAGCAAACAAGACATTTAATGATAATAGTTAACGTATTTATTGAGTGCTTACTTTCTGCCAGGCACTGTGTTAACTAATCAGTCCTGACAACAGCCTTGTTAAAATTACACTCATTTTGGGGGTGAGGAAACAGAGGGCCGGAGAGATTAAGAAACCTGACCATCCATGGGGCTCGTGGCCAGAGCCCATAGTCCCAAGCATGAGGTTGTTATTCTATGTGCCTGGCATTGACTAAATGCTTTAATTCTTACAACCACTACTATGGTTATACCCACTTTATGGGTAGAGAAACTGAGGCCCAGAAAAAGCTAGTGAATCCAGGTCCACACACCTGCTATGTGATACCCAGAAGGGTGTGGCTTGAGCTCTGAGCTCTGAATTACAGTTCTCTAATGCAGAGGTGTTTTTCACTCCCACCGGGTGCCCTAATGTGTCCCCTAGTCTGACGGTGGCTGACCCTGGAGTCTGAGCTTTCTGCTGGGAGTTCACCAGCTCCCCTGCCTTCCAACAGAAGTTACAGGTTCTGGGCTCCTGCGTCTAAGGTTTGTCTGGCTTTTGCCTCCCGAGAGGTGGAGGAAGGCCATGCCAAGGGCTGCTCAAAGCCCAGGGAGGGGCCGTGGGGCTCGCAGTCTGGTTTGGAGGACAAGGGCATTGAAGAGTTCCTCGCAGTGGCCAGGGCTCCCCTGGGAACTGCAGGGCCTGGCCCGGGGGCCTCTGGTTTCCAGGGCAGATGCCTCCGGCATACCAAGGACACTTGGCCGGCCCTGAGCCCAGCTCTGCCAGGCTGGTAGGAGACACGGGCACTTCCAGGAGGGTCTGACTTTCCTCATCTTCCTGTTCCCATGCCCTCGCTTTGCCCTCCTGGGAGACAGGGGAATGGCTTGTGGCTGGGCCTTTGAACACAGTCCGCTCGTTGGTGCTCAGGCTAGACCTGTGAAACTGAGCCCCACTTTCTTAGGGGTTTATAACATCGGGATGCTTCAGTTACCTCTGAGTTTTTAGCCAAGGCAGCCATTTCTAATCCTGGGTTGGGATTAGAACTTAATCCTTAAATTAATCCTTAAGTTTCTCTGGGTTGGGGTGGAAGGGGGAGACACTTAAATGGTCCCCTCTGTGGGTGAATTCTCCTTTTGGTACCAGAATCTTAGAGTTAAGTGAAATCTCTTCGAGACTTCTGTTTCCTGTCTTGGTGGGGACCAGAGGGGGTTAAATGTTGTGGGTCAGGGAGGAGGATTCGAGCATGGGCTCCAGAGCATACCACCTGGACTGGGATGCTGGCTTTGCTTCTTCCTGGGAGTGTGAGCTTGGGAAAGTTATGGAATCCGGCAGAGCCTCTGCTTCCTTATCTGTGAAATGGGGATATGGCAATTATCAACCACACAGGGTTCGTGTGAAGGCGTGAGGAGCATTGGCCCGGAATAAACATCGTGAATGCCCAGGAAGCATGTGCCTTCCTTTGTGTTTTCTCCCCTCCGTGCTTCCCAGAACGGCCCGATCTGCTCTGACAGATCTTTATGAATAAGAACAAAGGGTGTACATGCTAATGAAATGGCCTTGCAGCTGCACACCCTTAAATAACTTAAAAATATTACGTAGCAAGGGCGCCTGGGGGGCTCAGTTGGTGACACGTCTGACTTGGGCTCAGGTCATGATCTCATCATTTGTGAATTCGTGCCCTGCCTGGATCGGGCTCTCTGCTGTCAGCACAGAGCCTGCTTCAGATCCTCTGTCCCCCTCTCTCTCTCTGTACCCCCCCTCTCTCTGTCCTCCCCTCTCTCTGCCCCTCCCCTGCTTGCACTCTTTTTCTCTCTCAAAAACAAATTTTAAAAAACATTTAAAAATATTACATAACACCATTATTAATGGTATTCCTTACCTGTTCTTTAAAAGCATTTGTCTTGGAGCACTTACACAGGGTGGGGATGCATCTTGCAGGAGGATCTAATTCAGTGCAGACGGGCAGTTCCGTTTGGGCACCTCACCTAACCCCGTGGATGGAGTCAGCGTTCTCTGCTGCCAAAGAGCGAGGCAGGAATGGGATGGGGTGTGGTCAGGGTTGTGGGTTTTCTCTGATCCCATGGGAGGTTCCCAAAAATCGAGACTGTATCCTTCCCCTATTTATTGCCACCTGGTGACACGGTACTATTCCCTGTAGGTACTAAGTGGAGTTTTATATTTAATTTTTTTTTTAATGTTTTTATTTATTTCTAGGAGAGAGAGAGAGAGACAGCGTGAGCAGGGGAGGGTCAGAGAGAGAGGGAGTCACAGACTGAAACAGGCTCCAGGCTCTGAGCTGGCAGTCAGCACAGAGCCCGACGCGGGGCTCGAACCCACGAACCGCGAGACCATGACCTAAGCGAAAGTCGGACGCTTAACCGATTAAGCCACTCAGGCGCCCCGGAGTTTTATATTTAAAATAGGACTCGTAGGCCCCAGAGCCTCAGATGGCCCACTGTCACCTCTGTGCCCTTCCCTGAGGCACCCAGACTCCTTCAGGTCTGTTTCTTCTCTGCTAAGCTGATGGGAAAGGGGCCAGAGCACTGGCTGAAGAGTCTGACACAGGGAGATTCAAGTCCCTGCTACTCTGTACTTGCCTATGCATATTTGCTTAGTTTTTGAGGCTGAGTTTCTCCCTCTAAACAATGGGAGCAAAGACCTTGACCTCCCAGAGGGGGCCGTAAGGAAGAGCATGGTGTTCAGAGTTGGCCGAGGCGGGTTTGGGGAGTGAGGATCCACAAGCCCCTGCCCCAACGGAGTCCCACCAAATAGTGGGATGTGGGAAGAATATTCACGAAGCACAAGTGCACCCCCTCAGCCATGAGCCAGTAGATCAACAAGACCAGACAGCGAAGGGAAGGAGCATATGGCCTAAGTCTTACAGATCCTCTGTGGCCTTCTAATGCCCCATCTCTCTCTTGCCGATTCACCAACGGGCTGGAGACATTAATCGGATGCATGTTTGAAGGCCAAGTATGTGGAAGCTGAAGGAATAAGGTCAAATCTTAGAGGGAAAGAGCGTGGGCTTTGGGGAACCTGATAGATGTGCATTAAACCAGGCATGCGAGCTCAGGCAGGTTCCTCCACTGTCCGTGCCTCAGTTTCCTCCCGTGTGAAACGGAGCTAATACTGGCTTCCATGTGAAGCCCCTGTGAGGAATAAATGAACAAATGCAGGCCTAGCACTTGGGAGGTACTCAATAGATGCTAACCGAAATAATGCTCGCTACAGTCTTGATGTTTTAACTCAGAATCTGTGAACAGCATCAAGGTCAGGAATACTCCCTGGTCCATTTCTGCTTTGAGTTTTAGGTAGCCACTCTCCTCTCCGGTGTGGTTCGAAGAAGAGCCTCCCTCCCTGGCTGTCCCTTCCGTGTGGGCTGTCTAGACAGAGCTGCCATTTCCAGCTGGAGATTGGAGGTGAGCTCCCCAGCCCTGTTGACTTCACTAAACCTCTCTTGGGGAATCACTGAACGAGTTAGATTTTGAAGGGTCAGGTCGTTCTGTTGATTTAAAATGCAGAATCCATCGGGGCTGTGCGCTGGCCTAATTTTCTGGGAGAGCCTTGACTCTGACACTGTTCCTTTGTCCGGTGCTGAGCGCTCTGTCTTGTTGGGTCAGTCTGGCCACCAAAGCTGAACAGAGCTAGCTAGGCCTCGGGGTACTGGTGGCCAATGGATTTCTTTGAAGCTCCCTTGGGTGATGGCTTCGGGGGTCCTCCCTAGGGCGGCTGTCCGTGGGGGGCATCAGCTCTTGGTCAGCTGGGGGTACAGGCCCGCCCCTCGGGTCGTGGTGTGAGGGACAGGTGACTTGTTAGAAGGGGGTGGGGGAGGTGGGTGGAGGGCCCAGCACTCAAGAGGGCCAGATCCGGGAGATAAAAGATGGAGCTGGGATATTTAGAGCCCTGAGTCGGTGATCTGGGAGAGCAGCTGGGGCCCTTGTCACCCGGTCCTGGAAGGCAGTCTGTGGGGGCACAGGACACAGGGCAGAAAGGGTGGGAAGGGCAGTGATGACAGATCAACCCCTCCTCCCCCCGCAGAACCCCTCCCCTACCTCTCTCTCCGCAGTCCGCTGGCCACGGGGCATCTGAACAGGCTGGGACCGCCGCCTAGGCCAGGAGATCCGGCCCCCGTGGACTCCCAGCTCGGAGCAGCCCCTCTTTGGTGAGTGGTTCACTCTTGGAGCAGCCCCAGCCTCCGCCAGGGCCTGGGAGCTGAGCCGGCCTCTCTTGGGGGTGACTTCCAGATGCTCGGGCTGGCACCTCACTCCAGACCCGTGGCACACTCTTCGTTCTCCCTGCTCTCCTGCCCCCACCGCGCCCGCTTTCTCCATTCCTTCAGGCGTCCTTTCTATTCCACCCTCCTCCTTCCTCTCCTCTCTGTCCTGCCTGGCTCTCTGGGGCCACTGCTGGGTCACAGTGGGGTCTCTGAGCTCCCCCTGTGCACAGAAGGGCTGAGAGCCTAATGGCAGGGGCCCTTGAAGATGGGGGAGGGGTCTGGAGGAGGAGCCAGCAGACTCTGCTGTCGGGGGCGGGGGCATCTGCCCCCTGCCCGGACCCTTTGCCCCTGTGACCAGAAACAAACCTGGAGGGTACTGGAGGCTGGGAAGGGATGCTTCTCAGCAGCCCCAGGCCTGTCCTGTTCTGGGCCAGTTGGCTCTCATTGCCCGCTGGGGATCCCAGGAGTCCTCAGCTAGAGTAAGCCGGTCACCTACATCCCTAAGTTGGGGAGGTGAGCTTGACACAGTTGTCTCCCTTTCCTGGCCCAATGGGCATAGGTGAGTGGATATGCATGGTGTACAGGGGTCCTTTCGACGCCGGGGCTTGGGTCAGGAGGAGGCATCTGACATGAGCACTTTTTCCTCCCGAGCAGGAGATGGGGGGAGAGTACCCCGCAGGGGACCAGGTGCCTGCTCACGGGGGTGGAAGATGCAGGCGGGCCCAGGAGATGCTGGCGGGGGTGACAGGCAGTGGCAGGGGAATGGCCTGAGGCTGGACCTGGGGCCCTGAGTGTGAGCCAGGGAAGCCTGCTTCTTGCACAGTGTAGCCCCGCTAAAGAGCTCAAGGTTCCCGATGGGAATCCCGTGCAGCATTCTGTAGGTTAAACCCGGGGTGTGGGGAGTCAGTGGTTCAGTCCCTAGAGGCTCCCAGGAGCCCCCAGAGAATGTGAAGTCTGGCCTAGAAGCTGCTCAGCCCTTAGGTGCCCATGTGAGCCTTGGGCAGGGATCAGGAATAGGTAGGTCCCAGGGTCCCCTGGAGGCTAGCCCTTCTGAGGGAGCAGGCTGGGGCCCAGCGAGACAGCCAGGCCTGGCCGCCCCCTGAGAGCTGCCCACCTCTGCCCGCAGACCCCGCATGGTGGAGAAGCAGCCCCATGAAGGTGCCCAGCCATGCAATGTTCCTGGAAGGCCGTCCTCCTCCTTGCGCTGGCCTCCATCGCCATCCAGTACACGGCCATCCGCACCTTCACCGCCAAGTCCTTCCACACGTGCCCGGGGCTGGCAGAGGCCGGGCTGGCAGAGCGGCTGTGCGAGGAGGGCCCCACCTTCGCCTACAACCTCTCGCGCAAGACCCACATCCTCATCCTGGCCACCACGCGCAGCGGCTCCTCCTTCGTGGGCCAGCTCTTCAACCAGCACCTGGACGTCTTCTACCTGTTCGAGCCCCTCTACCACGTCCAGAACACGCTCATCCCCCGCTTTACCCAGGGCAAGAGCCCCGCAGACCGGCGGGTCATGCTGGGCGCCAGCCGCGACCTCCTGAGGAGCCTCTACGACTGTGACCTCTACTTCCTGGAGAACTACATCAAGCCGCCGCCCGTCAACCACACCACCGACAGGATCTTCCGCCGCGGGGCCAGCAGGGTGCTGTGCTCTCGGCCCGTGTGCGACCCCCCGGGCTCCGCCGACCTGGTGCTGGAGGAGGGGGACTGCGTGCGCAAGTGCGGCGTGCTGAACTTGACCGTGGCCGCCGAGGCCTGTCGCGAGCGCAGCCACGTGGCCATCAAGACCGTGCGGGTGCCCGAGGTTAACGACCTTCGGGCCCTGGTTGAAGACCCCCGGTTAAACCTCAAGGTCATCCAGCTGGTGCGAGACCCGCGTGGCATTCTGGCCTCCCGCAGCGAGACCTTCCGCGACACGTACCGGCTCTGGCGGCTCTGGTACGGCACCGGGAGGAAGCCCTACAACCTGGATGTGACGCAGCTGACCACGGTGTGCGAGGACTTCTCCAACTCCGTGTCCACCGGCCTCACGCGGCCCCCGTGGCTCAAGGGCAAGTACATGCTGGTGCGCTACGAGGACCTGGCCAGGAACCCCATGAAGAAGACCGAGGAGATCTACGGGTTCCTGGGGATCCCCCTGGACAGCCACGTGGCTCGCTGGATCCAGAACAACACGCGGGGCGACCCCACCCTGGGCAAGCACAAATACGGCACCGTGCGAAACTCGGCGGCCACGGCCGAGAAGTGGCGCTTCCGCCTCTCCTACGACATCGTGGCCTTTGCCCAGAACGCCTGCCAGCGCGTGCTGGCGCAGCTGGGCTACAAGATGGCCACGTCGGAGGAGGAACTCAAGAACCCCTCCATCAGCCTGGTGGAGGAGCGGGACTTCCGCCCCTTCTCGTGACGGGGGCTCCGGGGGCGGGGGCGAGGGGCACGTGGTGTCGGTTTTGATAACATGGACCGTTTTTAACTGTTGCCTTATTTCCCCCTCCCTGTCTCTGTGTCCCTCCTGCCCCCTGCCCGCCCTCCACTTCCTTCTGCCCCTTTTTGTCTCTGAAATTTGCACTATGTCTCGGACAGGAATCGCTGGGGCAGAGGGGGTGCGAGTGGGGCAGAGCCCCCACCCCACTGCGTTCAGACACACGGATGTTGGGGCTCCGCGTGGATGGTGACAATGTTTACAAGCACCACACTCACACGTTCACATACGCACACATACACACACGTACATGCACACACACACACACACACACACACACACACATACACACACACGGGCGCCCACGAGGAGAGATACATACCCCAACCCACAGAACGTCTGAGGCTTTTCCCATGGACCAGTGGTCAGGGTATGGTAGTTTTTGCACTGTCTTACTTCCAGAAGGTAAGAGGTTAAAAAACAAAAAAGGCCACCTCTCTCTAATTTATGAATGGTGTCTAATCCCTCCCCATCCTGCTTCCTGCCCCCAATGCCCACTCCCCCACCCCCTTTGGAGCAGAGAAACTGCCCCCTCCCGCTCGCCCTTGCCTGTCGGTGAGCAGGTTTTTACTGTGAGGTGAATGTGGACCTTGTTTATTTTTTCCAGTCCGTGGCAATGCTGTCTGTCTGTCTGTCTGAGTCTCGTGGCTGCCCCTGGACCAGCGATGGCTGATAAATCTTATATAAATCTTATGGGTTTCTGATTGATCTTGGGGTCCATCAGTGATATTTCTTTGTGCCAAAAAGAAAAAAAAAAAAAAAGAGTGGATCAGTTTGCTAAATGAACATTGAAATGCTTTATCTGTGTTTTCTGTAAATAAAAGCGTGCAATAATATCTGGGCGTGATTGTGGGACATTCTGAACCGGCCAAGGGCAGGCCTCGGTGGGGCCAAGTGTTTCTGACTTGGGGGGGAGAGAGAGAGAGAGAGATGAGAGAGAGGAGAGAGAGAGAAGGAGGTGCAGGAGAGGATTCAGTGGCCCGTCTCCGGCTTTCAGATCTCCTGCCACCCTCAACGTCCTCAATATGGAGTTCGGTGGTTCATTTCCATTCAGCCAGTCCAGACCAGGCACCTTGTAGCCAGGGGTCAAGTTCAAACTATTTAACAAGCGGTAGGGCTTGCAGAATCGATGTCCAGGAGTCAGGATGAGGTCCTAGTGACCCCTTTCTGGGCTAGGTGTTGCCCCTTTAACTGTTGGGTCTGGGGCCAGGAGAGCTGGGGAGGGGGACCCTTTTGGGGGTAGGGTGGCTCAGGGCCGTGGCTGCTTATCGGCTGACCTGGAAGAATTCCAGCATTTTAACAAGTCGTGCAGGTGCGTTGGTTTCTATGCTGGTGGATTATCAGCTGTGTTTATTTTTCTTCCTATCCTTGGCAATCTAACGGCTTCCTCCAAGCAACTTCCCCAGCTCTTACTTCAAGAAAACAGCTGGCCCCTGGGGTGGAGGTCACAGCTCTGTTGTCCTGGACAATGAAAGCCCTTGGGGTTAGGCCATCCCAGTGGTCCTGGGCTTCCGGAGGAAACTCACTTCTGGGCTGTGCGTGAGTCAGGAGGATATGGATTCAATGGCTGTAGCAAATAGCTGAGATAATAGTAGCAGCCTCATCGAGAGGGGCTATTTTGTTATTAGCAGTGTGTGCAACATAAGCCTGTCAGGGCCGATAGGGTGGCCCCAGGCTGTGCGCCCAGGTATGAGGGGCCCTGGCTCTTAACATGTTGTTGCTGCGCCATTATTCTGAGCCCCAGACTGTCTCGTCCAAGATGGTTCACTAGGCCATAGGAAGGAGAAGAGCATGAATGGAGGCCACAACTCTGCCCTTTGCGAGCAAACCCCCAAAGTTACAGACATCACTTCCGCTCGTGTCTCATTGGCTAGAGCTTGGTCAGCATGGCCGCCTGTCGCCACAAGGGAGGCTGGGAAGGGTGGTCAACTCTGGGCGGCTGTGAGCTCTGAAAGGGGCCGATGACACAAAGGCTTATCTCCCTGGGCTTCGGGTTTCCTTTTTGCAAAAGGGAGACAGTGTGGTTTACTCCCTCAGGCTTCACAAACAGTGGGCTGGTTTGGAAAAGTCTGTCAGGACTGGTCAAGGGGCCCGGAGCTTTTGAGACCCTCTTTTCAGCCCGGTTCACAGGTTCACAGGCTCTGCTTTTTCAACCTGTGGGGAGTGAGCCAGCCAATGAACTGGCTTCCTGGGATCGGCGCTCTGGTGATCGGCGCTCCGCTGTTCCAGTGACCCCCCGGGAAGGCCTGTGCCGATTTGTCCTGTTACAGTAAATGGTGTGGTGGCACTTTTCTCCCAAGGAGGTCCCTTCTCTTTACTTTCCCACTGCCCTGCCTTGGATTGTTCCAGAGCTGGGAGGTCTGTCTCTTCTGGATGGGTGGCTTCCTGGCAGAACCGGAAACCACCAGAACTGCTGGCCTCGTTGGAGATCCTTTCCCCCCAACGGCCATGACAGAAGACTTCCAGAACGCTGACTGGAGCTTTAGAGGAAAGTGCTATTTGGTGATGGAATCACTCATTCATTCAAGTATTTCTGAGTCTTTTGTGCACAGGCCCTGGGGTTATGAGTACTCCTTTGAGAAAAACAGGCTGGTGGGAGGCAGGCAGATAAAAAGATGGTTAGGGCATTGATGAAGCATTGTGCCCGCAGGGGTGTGCCCCACAGGCAGGGCTGGGCCCCGTACAAACTTGGTCCTGGAAACCACAGGCCACTGTACTCAGTCACAGGTTTATCCCCTAGGCCTCACGGAGTCATTTGATGTGTCTTGGGTCTTGGGGGCCTGGCGAAGTCAAGGAGGGCTTCTTTGAGGTGGTGTTACCTGAAGTGAGTCTTGGAGAGGCATGCACTGGCCCTACGTGGGGGTGAGAAGATCATTTCCAGCTGAGGGGGGAGCAGGTGCTTCAAAGGCACAGAGGTGAGATTGTGTCAGGCATTTAAGCAAGGTAGGGCAGGGATGTGAGGGTAGCCCGGGCTCCACAGCCTGTCTTCAGCTTCTCAAGCTTGGAAAATCCATTTTACTAGTTCACCCAGGGCAGCTCAGCCTTTTGGGGGGATTTACTTATGATGACCAAACACACATGACAAAGAATCGGAAAACAGAGGGCTCGTCTGTTCTTAGGGACAAGACCAAACTCTTACAGGGCTCCTGGAGGTCCCATGTGCCCTAGTTACCCCGCCCCAGCCACCCACTCTTCCCTCTCTGCTCTCTTTCTTTCAGTTGCTCAAACACACAGAGGTAGACTGTTGAGGTCGTAGCCCCTAACTTATTCGCACCCGACCCTGGGCTCAGCCGCATGCTTCACTTTGGCCAATGGGACGATAGCAAGTGTGATGGGAACAGAGACATGGAACATGTCTGAGCTTTGGAAGCTGCCTGGTGGCAGGCTTTCCTGGCACACGAAGGAAGCCCAGCATAGCTTCCAGCCGGGCAGCATGGCCTATGAGGTGAAGAACAGGAGCCACCCGGGCAAGGTCAGTCCTGCCTGGCGTAGGTGACTCAGGTGCGTGAGCGAGTCCTCGCCCAGATCAGCCGCAGAGCGACCTGGATTGTGGGAACCGTCTGGCTGACTTCAGCCCCGAGTTCTGACCCGCAAAATGGTGGGTTAAAAAAAAAAGTGGCTATTGTTTTTAAGCCACTAAGTTTTAGAGCAGCACTTTGTGCAACAAGAGCGAGTGCCAGTCTCTGTCCTCACCTGTGACGTTTGCTCAGACATCTCCTTACATCCGGCTCACTCCCAGTCCCCTCTTTTCCTAATTAATATCCACTCATCCTTTGCATCTCATAGCTTATTTATCGGCACTTGCTTGGGTGGATGAGGTCGGCTTTGCTATCCGGAATACAGGCCTGTATATGACTGACTGTGTGTCTCATATTTGTACATTCTGATTATAGACCTGGAGACACTGCGTGCTTCTCATGTATGCTGTTTGCCACAGTTGGAATCACACCTTTCATAACAGGACCTGGCACATAATAGGTGTTGAATGAACACCGGTTGAGTGAATAAAAAAGTGAATGGGGGGTGGGCCGCCTGGGTGGCTCAGTCGGTTGAGCATCTGACTTCTGCTCAGGTCATGATCTCACGGTGTATGAGTTCAAGCCCCGCGTCGGGCTCTGTGCTGACGGCTCAGAGCTTGGATCCTGCTTCGGATTCTTTGTCTGCCCCTCGCCCCTCCGCTACTCACACTCTGTCTCTCTCTCAAGAATAAATAAAGATAATTTTTTTTTTTAAAGTGAATGAGACAGGTGCTTGCCACTCACTCGCTTGCCCGGGGGGCCTTCCCGAAGCAGTGAGCGAGGCGTCCGAGGGATCTGCAGGAGACCTGAGGCAGCTAATGACCTTCCAGGTGGTTCTGAAACGTGATGGGGGGTTGAGCTGAGTTTTGTTCCTGGACTCTATGTCCGCCCTTTCTCCCTCACCAGTCCCCCCAACCGTAGTCGGCAATTCTTTCTAACTTGACGTTGACTTTCCTGTTTCTTTCTGGGGCTGCCTCATCTGCCCGGCCACTTGCTACAATTTCCAAGGTAAACGGCTACGAAGGAGAATAGCAGTGAACAAACACATGTACAGAATTTTACAGTTTGCAAAGCGTGCTTCCCTTCCTATTAGTCACACCTCTACGGCGCTGTTTCCTGCTGACACAAAGGCGCCTTTTTCTACCCAGGAAATGGTGGTCAGAGTACCACGTAGGCCGGACTGGGGCCGCCCCACCTCTTCTGTGCGTAGCGCTTTGATGGCTTAGGTCCCGAGGAGTTACCTCCTGGTATCATCCCCACATTCAGGGCTCCGCTTCCCTATGGCTCCAGGACCTTCGTCTCTTCAGTTCTTTTCAGCACAGATTTCCTCTGTTTGTGTGTTCCCACCTGCTCACTCGTTTCTCTTCTCACCAGCAGCAGGTGCCCTTGGGAGCTCCCTGGGCTCCCCTTCCTGTCATCCCAGAGGGAAGAGTCCAGGACAAGCCTGCCCTTCCTGGCTCATCCCCTCCCCGGGGAGGAATTTCTCCCTGCTGAATGACTTTCCTTGTTGGGAAGGAAAAGATGTGGAGGAAGCACGTTCAAGCCATACTGAGAGCACACACACATTTCTGTTTCCTGAGGGCTGGAAAACAGGTTGGAATCAAATCCACACAGGCAGGTGGCCAGGGTGGGGACCTGTCAGGGAGCCTGGCTGAAGCTGTGGGCTGAGTGATCACCGGGGTAGACTGGGCGTCGTGTGTACGTGTAGGTGCGACTGGGGAACTCCTGCCCAAGTTGAGGACCTGGCAGGTGTGGGGGCCTGCAGCCTGCCTGCTCAGCGGGCACGCAGACAACTAGCAAGGCTTCACAGAGCCCCGGAGTGCTCCCTCGAAACCTCGGTTCTGCCAACCTGCCGGTCTCCCCTCCATTCCCACTGTTTACATCCGGGAATTGACACCTGCTGATGTCTTGTGTTTGCGATTGGGTGGTACTCGCCTTGGGGCCCACTGTGATGAAAAGCCTGGCTCTAGATTCCAGTCCCATCTTTGCCCCTACTTGCTGTGTGACCTTATGCACGTCACTTAGCCTTCTGAGCCTCCATGTCCTTATCTATACAGAGATAATCATTCTAATTCCTGCCTCAGAGGGCTACCAGGAAGACTGCAGAAGATAATGCCTTTAAGTGTATAGCATGGTGCTTTGACATGCAGGGAGTGCTCAAGTGCTCAAGCAATACTGGCCGTTAAGGCATCAAATCACCATCATCATCACCATTTTGCCCACAGTTCCTAGCAAGGTACTTGGAATATGATAGATGCTCACTGAACACTTGTTGGACAATCTTTTTTTTTTTTGGTAAGATTTTCTAATTGGAACTT